TTTGTCTAATGAAATTCATGAAATTCGCTTAATAGGCGCCTCGTCAGTTTGATTTCATCAATAAATTATCCTTTTCAACCTTATGTGGCATTGTATATTGTTATAAAGATTTTAAGGCTTTAAATTGCTAACTATTAATATCAGAAAATCCACAGAAAAGGGAAAGTCTGTGATGCGATTTAGAGATGGGTCGATGAGGAAATTTCTTTTTCAATTTTCCTTTTGTGAAAAATTACATACTTAAATTCCTAAAATATGTTTAATTCAAAAAAGAGGTAGAACGAAATGCACTGGAAATGTCATGCAGTGGAATATAATGGCATCAGAATACCAGCTGTCAGTTATTAGCTGAAACTAATAAATATTAATATTCTCTCTCATTAAAACGTGATGCATAACGATCTTGTTGATTTTTATCACTCAAAATATCGGAAAATTATAGCTTACGATTTTAGAAAAAGTCTTGGAATATTTGGAACTTGTCTGAAATGAATAAAAAACAAGTAATTTTAATTCCTCAAAGAATTATATTTTTCCATCTCTTAATACATTAGATGTATTCCTCCCATTTAATGAAATTTAAATTTAACAATTGTATTACTTCCAATAGAACTTCAACAGAATTATAAAATTCGAATATCATTTTGATGGTAATTGAAATGTTACTAATATGATTGGCTAATGTGCTCTGAATAATGTTTTCAATACTTTGGATAAGATAAGTGTTTAAAATAATGTTATATTTTCTGAATGGGGGAATTTCTGATCAAGTTTTGATTAAAAATTTTGAAGAGTAGTATTGTTTCTGTGAAAGACCGAAACTGAAAACGTTGACACTTACCACATACGTAAAAGGCCGAATATTTGATTGCATTCTCATGCATTCGGAGTATCACAGGTTTTGTTGCAATAAATAAGATTACATAACATCAATTACATAATTAAGCGATACAAGACAGCACCGGGGTGGGTGACCACCCACATGACCTCGGACTTTGACTCTATTTTTATTTAGTGTGGTTCTTTAATCTCTCTTTTAGGGAAAACGACAATGTTTTCCTGAGTCTTTTTCGTCGTGAAATTACGAGGAAAAAATAAGCATGAATGTGTTATATTATGTTTATCTGTAAAGTGAATTTTGCTTACTTTTGATTTCTACCTTATGCCAATCCTATTGTTGTATAACTTCAAGTACTCTTTTCACGGACTCATGAGAATTTTGCCCATTATGAACTCTCGTATTATGTTTTTACACAAGTGATTAGAGACTTTGACTCAGTGACTCTATGAACATTGTTTTGTGGAAGCACTTTGGTATCTTTTTACTTGTACATAGTCCTTTGCATATTTAATCAAGATTTTACATAATTATCCTAGAAAATGTACATAGTGTGTAGAGAGTATTTCTTGTATATCTCGCTGTCAAACTGTATTACTGTATTTGAGTCACGTGATATTACGTCACGTGATCAGGCCGGTCACGTGATATTGGTCCCATATCATGGTGACCAATATCACGTGACCGGCCTGCTATGATTTCAAGTTCTATTTTCACCGATTTTTTAGAGAAAATTGGCTATGGAAACTTGTAAAGAGTATTTATTACTACTTGAAGGCTCATTGAAAAATATTTATTATTATCTTTTATACTTGTATTTTTTTGATACTGTTGGTTATATGTAATTATAAGGCAAGTTTTGGAAGGAAATGGTTCCTTTTTCCTGCGTAATTTTACAAAACAATACAATACAATATTCTTTAAAAGCAATAGTTTATTGTAATTATGGGAAGAAAATATCTATAATTAATTGCCAACTATGGAGCCATTTAAATTATGATTGATTATCTTTGTACTTGTTTTTATTTGTTTTGTGATAGTTTCCAGTTCCACCTTACTTTTACTTTATTTTATCAGTATCTGACGGATAATAAAAACTAACGGTTAAAGCAGAGATGTTTAACTGTGTGAGAAGAGAAGCACAGAAAATCATAAAGCCAATTATCGTTGTACTTGTTTTTATTCTTTGTTTTCTGGTGTTTTCTAATTCCATTTCATTTATTTTATCAGTATCTAACGCATAATAAAAACTGACTTTTAAAACAGAGAAGCGTAAATGAGTAATCAGAGAAGCATAACCGTATTGCATAAGAAGTGACAGGAATCACGGAAGTACCACACATTTAAAAACATGCACCTAATAATCTCCTTACATACTACTATTAGGGAATGACGCTAAGTAGAAAGATTTGCAAAATTTGGGCTTTGACAAACGTCACAACAAGTAAACAATTCTGGTGAGCATCTACCAAATAACGGAGGAAGAATATTTGGCATTTCCATTGCATGAAACATTTAATGCGCTCACTGTTGATAAATTACATATCATATTCAAATTCAATTATAAATTATATTTGCTCTCTAAACCCTGCTCCTTCTTCTGTTGCGTTTTTGTACAAAGTAGATCTCTGTATATCTATTACTTTATTTCTGTTAACTTTTCAAATACTTAAACATTTTTAACCGCTCGGACGTCAAAATTCATTGTTAAGTTTAAAATTTAAACTTAAAACTTAAAGTTTAAATTTAATCTATAAATAATAAATAAATATTAAATAACATTGCTGTGTATTAAAATAGTTTTATTTATTCGACATATTGATAGAGTTTAGTACAAATACAAAGATATAACAAATACAGTAATACAGTTTTTGTCAGGAAAATCACATTATAAATTTCTTTTGCATTAGTGTAGCATTTAATTAGGTAACTATCTTAACATAATTTTCAAGACTTGAGTCATTTTCTTGCTGTACTAAACCAATATATATATTTCCTAAACAATATTGATTAATTGATTACATTATCATATATGTGGGTTCTTTAGTTTTGAAATTACAATTCATACTCAAACAAAACATATTTAATGAAACATTAATACATCTATAATATCGTTCATCGATTAATACAGCATCTATAACACCGTTTATCTATTAATACAATATCTATATCATCTTACATCTATTAATACATCTATATCATCTTACATCTATTAATACAAGATCTATATCATCTTACATCTATAAAACAACATCTTACATCTCCTCTCATTAAAACAAAATGGTGAGAGTTTTATCAATTTCACTCGTGCTAACAGCTAAAATTTAGACAGCGCGCGAGGAAAAATATTAAGGATTTAAAATCTCACATTCGGCCTTCCTGCTATGCGTCAACCTCGACGACATTATTCTACTCTTGGCATCATAAATCATTGATTATCTTACATCATCAAGAATAAGCCGAAACCTGAAAAGAAATACGAAGGGAGAGGAGAAGATTGTGTGCTAAGGACAAAATTGAAAGGAAAGCATCTTAATTGTCCTTCATCTTTGCAACAACAACCTCGTCAACAGTCCCTTCTATTTTTCAGAAATTTCATCTCAATCGAAAAGTATCTTCAATCTTTCACACTTCTGGAAAAGTTCATTTCACCTTAAAAATAACATTAACTGAAATAAAAGTCATTATTAGGTGAAACATCACAGTTCGGTTATCAGTTGTATCACTCCTGGTTAAAACCTCATAATCAGTATTATTTTATACATCTTCTGCTTGAGTCCATGGTTTTATGTATTCAGCGCATGCAGTTGTTTTAATGGGCCCTTCATGATCTTCTTTTACAACGTCACAGGAGTCATTATTCTTTATTTTGACAATTTGAGACGAGTCTAAATACTTTGATTTTAACTTAAGGTTTGGTCTAAATTGCGTTCTTTTGATTGCTACTAAATCATTAATTTCATAACATTTTGAAGAACGTCTTCGAAGGTTATATGCTTTCTTATTTTCTTCTTGTACCTTAAACATTTGTTTTTTCGCATCTTTTCGGAGCTCTTCTCGGTAAGTTTCAAAACTATTTTGAATTTCTGCGTCAATTATTTCTTTAATGCTTTCTTTTCCAGCAGTGTAATCAGTACCTGCTTGAAAATTAGAAGCATTCTGGTTTTAGAATAAGGCTTAACGGATTTATTTTTATCGTTATCTAATTTAATTTTTTCATATATCTTAAGTTTTTCCTAAAATTCTGCCAAAGTTTTACAACCGTAAAGAATAGCTTTATTATATGTAGAATCATTTATACCATTAATAACATATTCCATTAAAGCAGCGTTTTCAATATTACTTTTAGAACACATATTTTTAATTACCAAAAATTATTCATATAGAGATTCTTTTTGCTGCATTTTACGTTTTGATAATAATTCATGTAACTGAGCAGAGTTATACTGAATACCATATTCATTTACTAATAAAGCCTTAAGGGCATTCCACGAATAAATTTTCGTTTCACTTTCAATGAATAATTTTTTGCCAGTTAAAGATCTTTTGGCGAATATCAGTTTCTGAAATTCATTTAGTTTTAACAAATTAGATACATCCTCAAAGTTTTCAATGAATTTGTCAACCGAATTATACTGATTGCCATCAAATTTAGAAATCAAGCTTTCAATATTATTAAAATTTATATACGCATTTGAAAACTGTGAAAATGGAAATTGAACTGATGACTTACTAATATTTCGTTTTAGCTCATGACCTTCATCAACAGCAGCAAAAGAAGAGTTGTTGAAAATTCGAGCAGTTGATGCATCGATTTCACTATTAACAGAAATATTTCTTCTATCATCCAATACTGCTTCATATTCCTCTTTTTGTTGTTTGTAATTTGATCCCACTTCTGACACCAATTTTGTGGGTTCTTTAGTTTCGAAATTACAATTCATACTCAAACAAAACATATTTAATGAAACATTAATACATCTATAATATCGTTCATCTATTCAATACGGCATCTATAACACCGTTTATCTATTAATACAATATCTATATCATCTTACATCTATTAATACATCTATATCATCTTACATCTATTAATACAAGATCTATATCATCTTACATCTATAAAACAACATCTTACATCTCCTCTCATTAAAACAAAATGGTGAGAGTTCTATCAATTTCACTCGTGCTAACAGCTAAAATTTAGACAGCGCGCGAGGAAAAATATTAAGGATTTAAAATCCCACATTTATATATATATTTCAGCAAACTAAATAAAATTTTAAAAGATTTGCTGATTTCAATACTTTTTGGTATGTTTGATTACATAAATTAGCAGATATGGTTGATTGGTTGATAGTTTCCGGTGTCTGATTCACTGATTCAAAATTTCATACCCTTTCTCCTGAGTTTATTTAATGACATTTTCTGTTTTTTTTTTTTTTTTTTTTCTTTTTTTTTTTAATTTTAAGTAAATTTACCTGACCTGAGAGTATAATTTATATTTTAATATAACCTGTAATCTAAAAAGATATTAATATAAATAAAGTTTAGTAACTATAACATTTATTTATCACTCAGATTTTATCGTGTCTCCCTTTTTAAACCCACAGTTTCTCATCTCTTCCAAAACTGCCTCTTGCGTGAGCGCATACTTGAAATATTCTGTATTATCTATGGGACCTAAAGATCCTCCCAATTCCTCTGGAAGGAATTCTGGTGAAACGTATTTATGGAGTTCTTCTAAATTGCTTCCGTGCATAAACACCTATGAAAAGAATTATGTTATTATTACACTACTTAATTTTTTTGCATTAAAGATAATATTTGCTCAGAGCATAATAATGGGCGAAATACCTATGTACCAAAGTGTGAAAAGAAATACACCAATGAATTTTAATATTTCAAAACTTATGGATTGTTTATAACATTAATACAGAGTACAATGGGAGCAGAAATATTTACTGAAATATTTTTACTTAAAATGTCTTAGCTGATTATATAACTTTTTATAGAACTGTGCTCAAATATATTAATATTTTTATTATAAAGGTTTTCATTAATTAAATAATAGTCAGAGAATTTGCCATAATATCCCCGCAAGTAATGCCACATTTTCCTAATATCGTCATGGGGAGAGTAAAACAAAGTCACGTGAGTACATTGTCCGCATTGAATCAATTTATACTCATGTTTAAAATTTAAAGATAAGTATCATTTTTGAGTGCATAGAAAAAATACCATGAAAAATGTATTGGAGCTATTTATTTCCCCCTACCTAGTAACATTTTTGAGTGTATAGAAAAAATATCATGAGAAATATATTGAAACTATTCATTTCCCACCACCTAGTAACATTTTGAATGTATAGAAAAAATATTATGAGAAATTATTGCAACTATTTATTTCTCATACCTAATTCAAGATTATAATCATCAACCTATTAGATAAAATAATAGATCAAAATAATGATAGCAAGTAGTTTAGAGAAAAGTTTTAAAAAGGAGTTCAATATTGATGAAGGATAGATGAAACACACTGATCAGTGCCTATTCAGTTTAATTGTTTAGTAGGAAATATGTATATTTTAACGTAAGTTCATTATAAACTGATTTAGCAACTTTAAGGAGAAATTTTTCCACTCCTTGCCGGTCACATGTTTAGTACTTGAAAAAAAGAAATGAAATTTGCTTCTTTTATTTATTTATTTACTTATTTTTAGATTATAATGTTGATAAGAGAATAAATCAAGTATCGAAACTGACTACAAATATAAAAAAACATCAGATTTCAAAATAGCAACACAAGGAAATATAATAGAGGAAAAAAAAACACTGCCTTCAATTAAATTATATAACTGCAAGGCACTCTGTTTCGAAATATCAAACAAAATTTATTTCCTTACATTCTTCCTTATGACTATTTTTTTGTAATTATAGGCATAACAATCAAAATTTGATTAAAAAAAAAGCATTATCAAAAATAATAAAAATTGAAATAATGACAATCAGAAAAAGAAAAGACAGGGAACAAATTTCTAACTGCGAAAGAATTTATGCATCACCGAGAAAAAATAAGGATGATATAAATTTAAGACAGATGTTTTTCCAATATCTTAATTTGCACACGTGATCTCTGGCGTCCTTGAAATGCAACATTTCAGATTTTGGGTTGACGTTTGTTAGTTTAGCTAAAAAGCCTCTTAACAATTTTTTAATGGAGTTGTATTTCACCATATTCAAATATTCTGTCAACTAATATTCTGAAAAATCCTCTCTTTCTTCGCAAATATGTGAACTGCTAATATTTTCCAATTGTCTACTTACATATCCAATATGACAGTTGCAACTTAGCAATCAACTAAATTGTTTATTCTCAAAAAATGAAACATCAGCATTTACGATTTCTATGAAGCATTTTGTATTCTTTTCATTGTTTTGCATAAAATAGTCATATTATAATAAAATTCATAAAACGTACTGAATATTTTATTATTTTAGAACAAAATTTAAGCAATATAAATTCGCGTATAATTTTAACAGCGAAAGGAAACTGAGATCAACATTTGGAAATCAAAGTTAGCAAGTACTAGCATTTATCTAACACTTGGAGTTACGTGTAGAGGATCTTGTTCATCTAAATTATCTTACAAATTAGAAGCAATAAAAGGAGCAGTTTCGAGAATAGAGCTTTAAAAGCAATCAGGTACAGAATTCGGATTGTGAAGACATAAGATTTGTTGTGATGCTAAATATAGCATAAATGAAATAAAATGGAAGTGCCTATCGCTTTAAAGAAACCGCTGGCAGAGTCCTTTAGGTTTTCACACAGTTTACAAGAAGAAATTTCTTGCTGATGATGCATTATATATATACAGTCAAAGGAACTTGAATTTTCCTTATCAGGATTCTCCTTCTTCCATGTGGGAAATAGCTAACGACCGCTGCATCTCGTTAAACGGGATCCGTTAACTTCCACATACTCTCTGTGACGGTCAAGTAGCATTCATTCAACAAAACAGGAACCTAAGGCAGTGAAGAGAAGAGAAGAATTCGGAGGTCACTTTTCAAACTTCTTGACGTCATTGTTCATTTCCCCCGCAAGTAAGAAATGCAAATTCTCTACTGAAAATGACTCTTTAAACACTGTTTTTTATTAGACTTGTATCACTGAAGACACTGTGTCCTCAGGGGTTACTAAAATGTATAATTTTATTTAATAACTTTCCTGTACCGGTAAAATAGTTCTCCTGCGCTTTGTAATATTAAATTAAACAAAGAAAAAAACCTGCTATACACAGCATATCTCTGAATCAACCTGAATTTCAACTGGGAAAATTAAAAAAAAAAAAAAAAAAAAAAAAACTCTCAAGTTAATTTTTTTACAGGAATTATTTTTCATATTTCTTACTAGCGACCCGCTCCGGCTTCGCACGAGTATAAAATATTAATGGATATTTTAACAATGAATCGCAGTTCATAATCTTTTCTGAACTTACATACCTCACCTTAAACTACGATTTTTTGAAAATAATTTCCTAATATTAATTGATTTAACTCTAAATTTTAACCAAGATCTTAATAGAAAATTCCAATCCATAAATTATGGTTTTATTTAATCTAATCTTATCTAAACTATATACTTATAATTACTATAAGTGCGATTTAAAAATTAACCTTAGAATAGAATATCATTTATATTTTAAAACTACTATCATACAATTATTTATCGTAACTTACTTATAATTACTGACACGTTGTCGCGCTGAAAGCTAGAGAGCTCCGATAATAAACGTGTCCTATCGCTGCTAAATTCAAAGTGCTATAGGGAGAACCGCGGCCTCCGACGCGCTATTTATAGGCACGCTCTAGCCGCCAGTACCGCCGCAAACGCTACGTCCCGCAATTTTTAAATCTGTAGAACTTTCCAATGTGTACAATACTTAGTACATCATTTTGATAAATCTCGTAGTGTTCAGCCTGCGTTTGCAATGTAAGCGGAAAAAATGTAATTATTTACGACATCACATTAGAAACCTCAAAAATAACAGTATTTATCCACTATTTAATGGATATTATTATACATATAAACCTTCCTCTTCAATCACTCTATCTATCAAAAAAAAAAAAAAAAAAAAAAAAAAAAAAAAAAAAAAAAAAAAAACAAAAAAAAAAAAAAAAAAAAAAAAAAAAAAAAAAAAAAAAAAACCCGCATCAAAATCCGTTGCGTAGTTTTAAAGATTTAAGCATACGTAGGGATATAGGGACAGAGAAAGCGACTTTGTTTTATACTATGTAGTGATTAATATATTTATAAGGTTTATTTTGTTTTCTGTATTTGACTCTTTAATGGAATACCTGGATTCTGTTTGCTAGGGTTCTTAATAGTCCACCCCACCCTAGCTATTGAAACAGCTGTTAAGTAAATAGTGAAATTCGTGTTTCATTAATAATCCATTGCAGTAATTGCAACCATTTATTTAAATTCTGTTTCAGTATAATATAAATAAACGAATTTTAAATAATGTTTAACTTTGAGTGGTACCATTCAGAAACAACTAATGTCAATGATTAATACCGTGTCAAATGACTTAGAAATGTATGAAAAATTCTTTGAACTAGAGCCAGTGTGTTTAAAATCTTAGTAGTCTTTCTGATACACGATGCAGTTATATTAATTGTATTAAAGCTAACCTCTATCTCTTATTAATATAGTTATCCTTATTTATTAAAAAGCCTGTAAATTAGATTTTGCACAAACCCATAGCATAGAAACCATATCACTTTGTATTTGAAACTCTGACAGATGGCATATCTTTCAAATAATCCCTCAATTCCCACATCGATTTTAGAAACACTAATGAAAACTATACTTACCCTCTCTCTTATCTTCTTAGGCAGAGCATGTTTCACAGTATTATAAATAGCATGGAAAATCTCTGGTTCATTTACAACATGAATTGCCTTAAGCCGATAAGGCAGGCAATCCTAAAAGTTTATAAAATATTTCATAAGCAAATACATATCATAAACAGACATGCGTTCAATATTTATTGCAGAGAAATTAACTTACTTTAAAAACAGGTTATATTTCTATTAAACTGTAAATAGTTGATTAACTTTTGCAAAGGATTATTTAACTAACATTGAGTTACAAAACATTTTCCATGCGTTACATTTAGCTCCCCCTACCAAATACCGCTGTTTGATTTGTTTCGCAGACAGCTCATCTACAAGCGTAGCAACAGTTGTTAAACTTCTCTAATTAACTTTTATAGGGTCTCTACATCTGAAGTAATCAGTCTTATTGGAATATCGTCAGCTCAAGACAGGCTACGCTTGTTCGGGTCTGACATTCACTGGGCTGTTATTGGGAATGTTAATAAGTGATGAATTCAAATTAAGACCTTAAATTAAAAGATAATATTGATCAAGAATCTAGATACTTTCAAAACTCTTAATTCTCATATATAGAAAACAAGCTGGCTTGCTAAATGTAAGCCAAATTCAACTTTACTGACTTTAAGCATGCAGAGTTTTAGAAAACTATAAATATTGAAGCTAAGAGTTCACCAACTACTTAAGGATTTGTGGATAATTTTGATGTAATTTCGTGAATTCTGCTTTAAGACAAGTTTCGGACAATTTGGTAAATCAAATTTCAAAGTAATATAATTTATGTATGAGAAACATTAACAGATATAAATTATCTAAAACCCTTCTCAGGTAGTGAATGAGAACTTGACTTGTTATAGTTAATTACTCAATTAAAGTCTCATTTTTCTGGGATGTTTAAACACCTTATTGAAAGATCTGAAGTCCGTTGATTGTACATTATTTGGTAGATGACACTGTGTCCTTTGTAAAAGAAGTTACTTCCTTTCGTCTATTGAAACGACTGTTTATTCTATAATTTAAATTTCATCCGTAAATGTCTTAATGTTTTTTCGTTATAAGTTATTTTACAAGTGAAATTTATTCTTGTGCTTGGGGAAAAATCACAACTTTGATAATAATTTAAGTGAACAAAATTTTCGTCACTTGATAATCTTGTTTATACAATTAGAATAAAGGTCTGCTCTATTTACTTGCGGGTTATGCAAAGAAACTGCAGTGTATGTCTCTACCAAATTTTATTGTAGTTATCGCAGTATTTATATAAAGATTAAATACACTTTGAATAAACTGGAATAATTGCATTCATTAAATGCACTATTAACTGAAATGCACTTAATAATTTTTATATAAATTGAATTTTAGGTACTTTTCCGTTTCGCCGGCGCAAATCTTGCCAAGCAGACTTTATTGGGGACAACATACAGTATACACATAAAAAAATATTAAAAAAATGTTAGTTCTAAGAATTCTTTTTTTTGAAGGCATAAACATTTTAATATCGCTTAAAATTTTATAAAAAGCCAATAAATAAAGACAATAAATTTATAAAAAGACATTAATTTAAGAATTTACTATGTTTTCATGGTTCAACATCCTGATCGCCGGTTCATATCACGTGACCCCAAGCGATCTCATCTCACGTAAACTACTGTACAAAAATTTAATGCTCTCAGTAATTATCTACATTCTACATTAATTTCAAGTTAAATCTTAATTTGGAACACAAGTTTAAATGCAAGAAATATTTCAATTCGTACGAATAGCTTACTCAGAAATTATGTAAAACTGCAGTGCTTTACTTCGCTAATGCATTCTCATTAGAATTGATGAACTTAACCCTTGAATTTACCTTTTCTATATTTTCGGCTTCGGGTAAGCGCTATGATTGCATTCTAATTGATTTAATTACCGAAAATGGCCTTAGACATAAAACTGAACTATCTGATAAAAATTCTATAAAATTATGTGCCAGTATTGAAAGAAACAATCAATCTGATAGGAAAAAGCTGCGACTTGTTTTGAAAATGAGGCGTAAAAGGTTACCAGCGAGAATATTCCGTTTGGCATCGGTTGTACCATTATTGGAGACTTTATCGTTTGCGCCGGCAAAACGGAAAAGTACCGAATTTTATATTATCTACCTCAGGAGGAGCAATGCAAAGAATATAAAGTCAGTAGATTAAAGGGAATTTGTTCAGCCTAAAGAGTTATTTTGGATGTACTAGTCATTGGTACATGATATTATGTCTCACAAATCGAAGATGACAGAAGACGAGAAACATTATTCTAAATAGAAGTGCTGAAATGGAGGTGACAAAAACCTGTCTTTTAATCAATGAATTCGGTAGGAGGAAAGTTATCTTTTCTGATTGAGATTGTGAGTTTATCATAACGAGCTCTGATTGCTCTGATTGAAAAACGGGCGAGTCCATTATGCTATTTCTTCTGAAATGCGTCAGCTGAAAACCATCGAAATTGCTAATAAAAAACAATAGTTCACGTTTTCCCCCAAGTTTACGATATGAAGAGCCATCTAATGTGCGCGTGTGACATTTAAAGCGAAAGTTTCCGACCTGGTGTGAATTGACGTACGTGAAAACCGTTTTTTCCCACGTTGGCCGCATTTCGCTCCAACGTACCAGTGTGAACGCAGCTTTATTCGTTGGTGCGTGGTATTCATAGACCTACGGTAAGCACACAGAGTGAAAATTCATACAGTGCTATTTGAGTTGACCTGCATACTTCACTAAAAAGTGCATTCTATTCATTTAATCTTTGGTTGTAACTTCCGTAACAATAAAATTTTTTACTACTTATTTTAACTAACTAGGATTCCTGACCAATTTTTTATATCATGAAGTATCTCATGTATTGATGAAGACTTTAATGTATGGCTTTGCACATACAGTGGATGGACAAAAATATGGAAACACCTTGTGAAATGCATGTTCGAAAAGAAAGATTGATTTTAATGAAATATGTAGGTGGCGCTGGCGTTTTTGACTACTGACGCCACCTATACGACTTCGTAAATGTGCTAAACAGTGCAGTTGTTGTCAGAGTACTGTTATGTGAGGGTCATTGCATTATGTGAAAGTTAACAAACTTCGAACGTGGGCAAATTGTTGGAGCACGTATGGTAGGTGCTTCCGTAAGCAAGGTAGCCGAGGTGTTTAGTGTTTCAAGAGTTACTGTATCGAAGATTTATTCCGCATATTTGAATAGCAAAAAAACATCATCTGCTAAATCACAGCGTGGACGAAAGTGTGTCCTGAGTGATCATGACAGACGATCATTAAGGGCAATTATGACGAAAACTAAGAAGACCACAGCTGTAAAGTTACTGCTGAAATGAATGTTGTCTTACCGAACCCTGTGAGTACCAAAACAATTAGAAGGGAGCTTCATAAACAGGGAATTGCTGGCCGTGCTGCAATTGAAGCCACTCATCAGTGATGCTAATGCCCGTAACAGGAAAAGGTGGTGTTTAAGTCATAAAGCCTAGACTATAGAGCAGTGAGAGCGAGTAATATTGTCTGACGAGTCTTCTTTCACATTGTTTCCCACTTCTGGCCGAGTTTACGTCTGGAGAACGCCATCTCAAGCCTATAATACAGACTACTTGTTGCCAAGAGTGAAACATGGCGGGGGTTCTGTTATGGTTTGGGTAGCCATATCGTGGTTCCCTGCTAGCCCCATGATAACTGTGTCAGGGCACATGACTGCCAAGACTAATGTGAAGATTTTGGCCGATCAAGTTCATCCCATGGTACAAACTTTGTTCCCCGATGGTGATGGTGTCTTCCAAGACGACAAAGCCCCTGTTTACACAGCTCACATTGTCCAGGACTGGTTTTCTGAGCACGAGGATGAGTTGTCCCATCTCCCCTGGCCACCGCAGTCACCAGACCTGAATATTATGGAACCTTTGTGGTCTACATTGGAACAGAAAGTGCGTTCTCGTTATCCACCGCCAACATCGTTATCTGAAACTTGCCACCGTTTTGCAGGAAGAATGGTATAATATTCCCTTGGCAAACATACAGGAACTGTATTTATCCATTCCGAGAAGCCTGCAAGCTGTTTTGGATGCCAACGGGTTTCCTACACCATATTAAGCAAAGAAACATGTTTTTTTAAAGGTGTTTCCATATTTTTGTCCACCCCTGTACATAAATCGTTATAGTATAAAACTTTAACTGAAAAGCGTACTATTCCTTAAAATTTTGTTCATGCCAATATACTATTAGCAGTCAGTTTGCAATTTGACGGCTTACTCTGAAATCGAGAAGCTAACATCTGCTATTGATGTTAAAAATGGAAAATAGTGTAGAGAAGCAGAAAAAGGTACGTAAATTATTTGCACTTAAAATATGTAATTTCAAAGTATTAATCTGTACTTACCTGTACAGAATTGAGGACAAATAGTAAAAGCTTCACACATGCAAATTTAAACAAATCTGCCACAGAGAAGTCCTTAGCATCAAAGATTATCACCCAGCCACATATAGAAACAGCATCCAATTTGCAACCAAGCAACCCAACTGTCAAAGCTACTGCTATAAAATCGTCTATAGAAGTTTTCTTGCCATTTAATCGAGCTGCAATTAATAATGTTTTTTTTTTCACACTTTAAGATTTAAAGCCTTACTTGCATGAATAAAAATCATTTAATACATATAGAGAATATAAATAAAAATATAATAATTGTTTTTTGAGAAAGTAAAGAAGGTGACATAAATGCAATGGTCATAAATGCAATGGTCACAAATACAAATTGCATGTGGCCCGAATGCACAGCCTGACAACCGCTAAATGGTCTGATATTTTTAAAACGAAATGAAAAAATTTTAAGACACTGGAATATTTTCCTAGCAAAATAAAAGTGTTTAAAATTCTATTTTAAATTTCGCTTAGTAAATAAGCTTATCAAAATAAGCATAAACGCTAATAACAATAATAATAACTCAAACGAAAAATTTAAATTTACATTTATTTTCCATCTGAAATATAAAAGTTGGTAGCTGCAAAAAATTTTGGTATTTAAGTATAATCCCTTGAAACATGAAAGTCGACAATCCGCTACCATCAAACTGTGAAAAGTTGCTGGAGATTCCCACAAAGTCCGCACCAAACCTTCCTGCGGAATTCTGAGCCACACTTCATTCTGCAACGCTTGGAATCAAACACTAGTCAGTGTCTCTGCACAATCCACCGAATATACCACTATTGCGGCAGTATTCGACTTGCTTCGTTTTTGCGATTCCTGTAAAGGTTATGTCGATTTCTACTATTTTAAAAAGACCTCCGATGTGGTCGAAAGGTATAGTCTGATCACTTGTTGAGTTCAATTCTAGGCGTACGGTCTGGCTACACGTACCTTTCCGCGTTTCTTTCCATATGTATTATGGATACCAGTCAATTTACCCTAATGCTCTATAGGCGCATCCCTCTCCTTAAACTTCTGGGGTGTATACACTGACTTAGTACTTTACTATGGCAGTAGAATACTGGGAGGACAGAAGCGCGAAACTGGCGGTTACAGGACCCCGAGGGAAGATTGTTCAATACGGTTGGCCCAAGGGGGGACTGGCTTCATTCCTCAAGCTAAGGTTGTCATTAAGTCTGTATTATGTGTAAATCCTCTGGCGCAGGGCTGCTCGCGTAGTACTGGTGGAGCTATCGACGACCAGTCAAATTGGCAAGCTGAAATTTATTAGCCACGCCCTTCTAGGAGACAGAAAACAGGAATTGGTGTCCCCTAGGGCACGTTTGATTAGGATTAACTTTAAAAAATCTGTGCTCGGTGAATGTGAGACTGTCGGCAGTAAATGGTGAATTTCAATGTCATGTTTTGGAGGCTTTTTTTGAGCCTGTCTCCCGCCTTCTGCCTGATGCGGATGACAAAAAAATAATGGAGCAGGACATGTAGAACCCTATTCAGTGGGGCGGGACAAGATGAACAATACTTACATTCCTTTCCTTAGGCAGTCACCCCGAGCATGCTTTGTTATAATCTAATAAATAAAACCAAGCCAAACCTCTCGAACTAATTCTTTGTTCAAAATACAGCAAAAGGAAAAAAATGCTGTCGCAACAGAAAATTTATATCCTTCTCATAAGAACCCAAAGTAACTCATCGAGAATCAACTAAGCTTCCATCAAAAGAAAGCTCAAGAGCTATGCGTTTGTATGTTATGTGATCCTCATCGATAAAACGGGCGCTACATAAAACTGTGGCCAAACATCGCTTTAGCGATGTTTGGCCACAGTTTCATAGTCGACAGGATAATACGTATGTACCGAAATGTCTGTTGGCTGCAATTTGTAATGCGAAGGTATTAGCAGCTAAGTATTAAATTTACGAGCCGACATTAATTTTAAATAATTAAAATTAATTGATACAGCAATTCACTTAATTGCATGCATTTAATTCAATTAATTGATGCAGCATAAAATTAATTGATTCAGCAATTTATGAACAAAATAACTTCATTAAACTTACATTAAAATGAACAAATTATGAAAACTTACAGATTTGGATAAAAATTAAGAATAAATAATGTAAACTTATTCTTTTTTTACTTATTTATTAATAATTTTTTCTTCCTAGACGTACAGAAATAATACATACATTTTTATGTAAATAATTATAAAATTATTTTGCGCACAACATTTAAAAAGAGTGCATAATTTCCCATTTATCCTAAAAAATACGTCAAATTTCGTCCATTTTTTAACCCTTTGTTAAAGACATGTTATGTGAAGTGTATTCTCTAAATTAAAATCTCTGCTATAATTTTATTAAGAATCTGAATGCAACATGATAGACGAGTTCTAGCACAAAAAGGACACTGAGAAATAATGCACTTTTGCAAGAATTAGATATTGTTATAAGGTAGATCTAACAAAAAGCACAAATAAACAGGTTTTATAAGACGTAATGTTGGTAACCCGCTCTAACTCTATAGCAATATAAATTCCGCAGATCTGCCTGCAGTTAACAAACTAGCTACTGGTTCATGGAAAGCATACATCAGAAGTGCCAAGTAAATAGAAAATATCCGAAACAACTAGCATACTGAAGGCATGTAAGCATTTAGTGTCTAAGCCTCAAACTATCCGTTTCATGTACTATTTTCCCTTCAACAGTAGTCACACGAATGAGCTCAGATCATAGTTCTGCAACTTTGAAACTATGAACACTGCATTTACAATAAACTCATAATTGAAATGTATTTGTAGACCAAGTAAAATTGCTAGTTCTCCAATGGAAGATGTTATTTGAATAATTTTGGCAGCAGAAAAATTCAAAGTGTGATTTTCGGACCAACAATGTTGAGCAACAGAGACTTCTGTGTTTCCTTTTCTCTAACATATGCCTCATGTTCCTTGACGCGAAATTTTACGGCTCTCTTAGTTTGGCCAATGTAAATTAAACCACACTGGCAGGGAATCCTATAAATACCCCAGGTATTCATATCCGGAATGGGGTCCTTGAGTATGGAACTCGGAATTTTATTGATGGGAAATTTAAATTTACATTGGCCAAACTAAGAGAGCCTTAAAATTGCCCGTCAAAGGAACATGAGGCCTATGTTAGAAAAAAGCGAAACACAGAAGTCTTCTGTTGCTCAACATTGTTGGTCCGAAAATCACACTTTCAATTTTTCTGCTGCCAAAATTATTCAAAAAACATCTTCCATTGGAGAACTGGATTTTCTAGAGGCATTTCACATTCAAAAAAATCTTTTTGTTCTAGTTAATGATCCTAATTCCAATCCAACTTTGCCTTCGGCCTTAAAAGAAATTATGTTTTCAGTTCTGGTTTCATCAACAGATGGCGCCACTTGCTTATTCTTGTCCAGGCTTTCTTATCTTATCTAATCATTATTTCCTATCTTGTTCATTTGCGGTTTTGCAGCTGAGGATGGTGGTTCGATAAAACCATCGAAACTAGTCCTGTGAAAATTTTGAAAATATAACGCTGAGTTTCGTTGTTTGACTTCTGAATTAGTATTTTTTCGGCGTGTTATTGTGTCTTAATTAGAATTATAATGTTGTTAGATGAGAAATCAGTGCGAAAAGAGAAATGAACGGAAAAGAAGAAAACGTGTTGAAGCAATAAGTCTCCCTCCTTCAAAAAATAAAAATAGGAAAAATATATGCAAAAAATAATAAGCATAAAATAATGTTAAAATTTTAAATTTAAAAATAACGGCTCTAATTGTAACTACAACTCTCTTCTGATATACTTACATATGCATCGACTAGTAGCGCTTACAAGTTTACATATATGAAACTTTATTAACAGAAAGTATGAAGCATATTAATAATTTTTTCGAGTTCTCTTCGAATTCATGTTATGTACACTTGCACTTATTTGTAAATACATACAGTGGTGGCCAAAATTGTGGACACTTTTGGAAATTTTTATGTTTTTGAACTTTGTATGCTTATAGAAAATGTTACGTTTCGCAAAATGCGAACTTGTATATATCATTTTACAGAGAATTTATTACTGAATTCAATACAAAACAAAAAATTCAATTATTTGCAATACATAAAAAGTTATATGTACTTTAATATAAATAAAAGACACAGTTAGGAAGTGGTTTGTAATGTCTAGCTTTTCTGGCCAATAACTGTTCTTGTTCTGAGACCCAATCAAATGTTAGTAACTGCCAGTAGAAGCTGACATCATGTTTACACTTGAAACAATTCATTATTTTGCTTTATTGTGTAGAAGGAGGACCTGTATCTTATACACAGCAATTTCAAGTAGGAGTTTTTGTAAAAATTTTTAATATTTAGTCAAGAAACAATGACATCAAATAAAAGAGTAAAGAGAGTAGATTGGACACCTAGAAAGAGATGTAATATTATTGTGTTACGAGAAAAGTGGTCTTTCCTATGCTGAAATTGCAAGACAGGTGGGTGGTTCAGTGACTACATCTGGAGTCCGAAAAGTTTTGTTTACAATATCAGGAGACAAATTCAATAAAAAACAAAGAAGGAAAGGCCGAAAAAGGTGCACCACATCTATTGATGACAGAAGAATAAAACGACTATGTCTCCAAGATAGAAAAATGTTATCAGCGGCCACCAGAAGTGATCTGAATGATGCTGGTGTTTCTGTCAGTTCAAGAACAATCAGGAGAAGATTCAACAGATTTTGGACTGAGAGGAGTAGGAATAGAATCCAAAAAAAAAGCCTTATCTTAATTTTCAGCAACGAAACGAAAAAAAAGACTACAGTGGGCAAAGGAACACATTAATTGGACAGATGATCAGTGGTCACAAGTTATATGGAGTGATGAAACTAAGATATCGTTATTCGGTAGTGATGGGCGAAAATATGTAAGACGTAGAATAGGAGAGGAGAGAGCTACATTCTGACTGCATTCAGCAACTGTGAAGAACCCAGTTAGTGTTATGATTTGGTCATGCATGTCAGCAGATGGTATTGGTCGCCTTCATGTCATCGATGGGACACTGAATGCCAGAAAATACATTGACACTATTCTAGAACCAAAACTTCTACCTTCCATCAGAGATATCTTTTCCAACAATACTTCGTTTATTTTTCAGCAGGATTCTGCTCCTTGCCACACTGCCAAAATATCGAAAGAGTGGTTTCGTACAAAGAACGTTAAATTGTTGTCATGGCCAGGAAACAGTCCTGACCTCAATGCTATCGAAAATTTGTGGCACCGTTTGAAAACTCTTGTCCGAATGAGGCACCCATCAAATAAAAGGGAAATAATTGAGGCTATAATATTTTCCTGGCATCATTTAATGACGGAAGAAGAGCTTAAAACTCTTGTCAGCTCAATGAACCGTTCGATGTGAAACTGTAATCAAAAATAAAGGGTAGCCCACTAAGTACTGATAACTCACTGCAATCATCACTATCTAATGTATATCGATAACTATTATCGTTTAACTTTTTTTTGTATTGCAAATAATTGAATTTTGTGTTTTGTATTGAATTCAGTAATAAATTCTTTTTAAATGATATATACAAGTTTGCATTTTGTGAAACGTAACGTTTTCTATAAGCATAAAAAGTTGAAAAACATAAAAATTTCCAAAAGTGTCCACAATTTTGGCCACCACTGTACATCTGAATGCTGTGTTTAATTAATTAATTAAAAATGTTCTTGAACTGAATTTCACTCCTTGGTTACTTTCTAATAATTAATAAAACACATGTTTTGGAATTTATTTTCCATAATTTTCAGTCAGTATATTTATTTAATTCGTATTATATGAGCTACTTATAATTTAAATTACTTCTACGATGATTGCAGTTTTCAACATCTTGTCATTTAGATTTGATTATTATTTTCCTCTTTCTAATTATTTTGCTGATTGATTTGTTGCTTCTAATTAACTGATTAATTCAGATGGATATTTTTACTATTATTTTCCGATGTTAATTTGCTTATTTTCCAATTTTAATCTGATCTGCGTCATGTGATCCTATTTTTGTACCTGCCTTTGTGGAATTTATTAATGAACTATTTGCTGCCTTAATGTAGAAAAGTGTAGGATTTGCTTTCTTTACATTTCATTGGAAACCAAACGTAATTGTTTATCGTGTTGTTCACAATGATGGCAATCCTTTTAGATTCTCTCTCGGCACCAGCCCCCTGAGAAGACGGTACGAGATCAGCAATTCCTTCTTATATTTTCTCATTTCCTCTGATTATTCTGTGACCTTACTCAAGTGACTGTCAGTGTCAAGTTCTATTTTTATTGTTTTTCTTTTCTCATATATGTCTATGTATCAAGTTTTAGCTAATAGGAAAAAATTATAAACTTTTTTCTATTTCATGTCATTTATTTTTAAAGGGCTGTAGTTTATAGTGCATTGTTTTCTTCTTTGTTTTACTTGCGCTTATTTCATTCATTAATAATTTTAACATTTAATAATTGTTGTAACACGCCTATGTAAAACTGCAAATTATGAAAGTCTAACTTTACTAAAGTCCTAACTTTAGTTTATAATAACACCTTCAGTCTCCTACTTAATTTGGTTATTTCCAGTTTCTCCGCTAAAATAAGTAATATGTTTACAATAAATCACTTTAAACTGTGTTATTACCGTTACATAAGAGTTATATATTTTAAAGATTTGAAACGACCGGTATATTAATAATTCTAGCAAAGAAAGAAAAAATATCCAAATTACGAAGGAGACTGAGAAGACTATTATAAATTAAAGTTAGAGATTTAGTTTGCACTATATTTATTTGCACACAAAGATCTATCTTTCTATATATCTATATCAATAGATAGATATAGATAGATATAGACATATATATACCCACACATATGTATAATATATATATAAATATAAATATGAAAATATAAAATATGAAAGAAAACTACTGACTTTAATCTAGCAATAGTCCTTTTAATCCCATATTTTAATTTCGCTACGTCCCCTTTTCCTCAGTTCAATTTAGCTACATCCTCTTCCATACGTATAAAAATTATGAATGTAAACTGCATCATCTAAAACCTAATCCGCATTATGTCATTTTATTAATCCTGAAGTTGAGATTAGCTCTTATGCAATTCATTTTTAAAATTTAAATGAAGAAATCAAGACTATAAATACCCTTTGATGAAATGCGCGCTACACTTTGCTTGCCTCTCACTATACTATGTGCTGTTGCATCATTCTGTTCTCTGTGTCGTGCAATATTTAAAATGTATTTCATGCTATACTGGAAGTAGGTAGCTAACATTGTGGGGATGCTTGTCGCATCCATAGTGATGTGTGAAAGAGAATATGTACCCTCATAATTATTTATGAAGAAATGAAATTTTTTCTATGTAGCTACGCTGACGTCTGAAAATTTTTCTTCACCATTATGCATCTTATTACATATACATATGTTATGAATTAAAGTGGAAAGATTGATGTAGCATATGTTACCCTTAATAAAGTATATACTTAAAGTTATAGCAGAAATTAAGTAATATATATCTTTATTTAGGTGAGATTTGCAGCCAAAAATAATATGGTGCACTAATCATGCTTGTTTTTTACAACATTTACATTTTGATACCGTTACTGTAAGAAAGGAGCAGCACAGCATCAGTCTAGATAGATCGAGAATGAAAGCGAAATGAGTTGTAAAATATATGAAGGCTTAGTTCAACAGGAGGAAAGGTTTGGTTTGGAAATTTTAAGTTACTATTTACTACATCTTTCAGCGTTATTTAATGGATGAAAACGACAAATACTCAAACTAATATAAAGAATTAAAGGGCATTTGAAAAATTAAAGCTAGAATTTTCACTTACATATTATTATTGTACATATATATGTAAGAAGTTACACCCAGTCAGGAGACGTAAAACTGATGTCACTCCAGGTTGCCTCCAGCACAGTATCAGATGAACAGTGACCGTGGAACGGAAGCAGACGGGCTTTGTCACAGCAGAAGCCGTGGGTCAAATGGTCCCACTTTTGGAAGTAGGTAGCTTTAAAGAAGTTCTATAGTTTTCAGCCAGCATTTGAGGATATGTGAACTTTTTGCCAGAGACACTGGATTATAGTGTATGTAAGGACTAACCAGCGAAGTCAGTTATATCAGTCTCCTGGATAATGGATTCTGATTATCATATTGTTTTCCATTTCACATCATCAGTGTGAGTGAGCTATGCATCGCACAATTTTATGTAGCTAATGTTTTTAGAACCATGGACAATAACTGGCAGATGCTAATCGAACGAAGTAGCGGCTTAGAGGCTACAAAGGTAGAACCAAATTCACCAAGAAAGGATTTTGGTTTAGATTACTAATTAAGAGAAAGGTTTCAGTTCTGGAAACTTTGAGTTTAGGTTCAGAAAGATACGTAATTAGTGTTACAAAAGTCATACGATTGATGGATTGATCCAGAAATGACTCAGTCCAGGAAAAGGCATTACTCAGTTAACTCCCAGTTTTAGGATAGGTAAGGGAATTAAGAGGCTATTGCTAGTTTAAATTATAACTTTCGACAAACATATTTTTTACCTCACACACACGCATATATATATATATGTAATGATTTTTTAAATCAATTGATTAAATTAAATTCTAATAATATTCCTTAATAATGTGTTGGCGATTCTCTACCTAAATTTGCATCCCTGTTCCTAAATTTTGGCGAAAAACTCCTTTCTTTAGTCTTATAAATTATATTAACCTCTTGGCGCCCGCCAAAATCGCCAAAGTCATAAATCTGTCATACTACATAAAGTCCTTATAGAACACTTCCTGATGAGAAGATAGCGTCACCTCGTGATTTCAATTAATATCGCTGATTGGATGAGCCTCGTGACGCACACATATGTATAAGTAGGGCTTCTGCTCAAGGTACGATTAGAACGCTTGTGAGATGGATGCTAAAATAAACCTAGCACTTTATGTTCCAAAATTTGTCCCATTCCTGTTGCCCCGGCTGCACAAAACAAATAATGTATGAGAAATTACATTTCATATATATGTCAGTCTCTCTCTATATATATTTATAGAGAGGGAGAGAAGGGGAAAATTATGCTGAGAAATATAAGAATTTAACTTTAATTATAACTTTAAAGTTATAATGAAATTTCTCACCTGGTGTGCAGACGGTAATAGTTCTGCCTTGGGAATCTCTGTAAGGCAGTACTGAGTAACAGTTCATATTCATGACTTCTTTATGTTCGGAAGGTAGGAAATCAGTAAAAATGCGGGAGTACTTCTCTTTAAAGTGATAATAATTTCGTAGAGTGTTGAAAGCCTTTGGAACCTTGTGCTTCTGGTGTCGAAGAAAGCTTAACAAAAACTGGTCATCCATAAAAGGATAGAAATCGGGTTCAGCTGCAAAACAGAATGAAACAGGCTTATTTGATTATCTCTGCAATGACTGTAAAGTGGATAAGCAGTGATTCAAATCACTATCACCACAGTATATGTCATTCTGGATGAAATTAATCATACCAGAAATTTAGGAAATCTGTTACAGCGGCCCTTGGCTCTAGCCAATGGAAGGTCCACATGCAGCAACCATGTTGTGCCAAGGGCAAAAGTAATTCTCAAAATTACGGCGTTTACAATACATCAATAAAATTTGAAATGCGATTAAATGGCAGATAATAGTGACAAATACGGTGCAAATCCGAAATTCGGAAGTTCAATAGCCGGAATAATATATTATCTGAATATATCATCAAATAGTTTTTTTAATATATCCTTTTTTTAGCGAAATATAGGAATAGCTAATATAATATACTCAAGCAAAAGAGAGTATACCGTAAGTAGAGTTTTGTTTCTATGACCTGAGCCTTGAGAGGTTTACCCTACAAAAACAACAATATCCGCGATAATATTCAATCATCCTGCATATTGTTTCGCTTTTAAACATCAAACCAGCTGTTATATTCAGGAAAATAATTGTTTCCGGGAGATTTTTCTTTTGAATTAAATTTGCCGCCTAAATAAAGTTTTTGCTAGCAACGAAAAGTATTAATAACATTTCGAAACTGATACTGTAAAAGCTCGACTATCCAGAGAGCTCGGGAAATGCGGAATGCTGGGTAAGTGGAAATTCCTGCGATATGAGTGTATAAAAAGTGCAGTTAACAGAAGAAAAGCTAACTAAAAGCAAAAGAAAGTTTTCTTAAAATTATAGAAAGCTACTGTATTTCCTATAAGAGTGAATATCAAAAGGGTAACAACAAATTTATTATCTATCTTATATATATATATATATATTATATTTATTATTATATATATCTTACACACACACACATATATATATATATACACCGCTCGACATTGAAAATGCAACACCAAGAAGGAGTGGTCAGAAAGTGATGAATTTGGAAAAAAGACAGAGACAGCAAGCAGCAATAAGTGATCTTTATTTCAAAATGATAGTCAGAATACAGAGCGAGAACGGCGTCGGCTCAGTAGGATATGGATATGGAGAAATGTGGTGGACACCCATTTTTTAACCTTTGGCAATGTGGGTATTGTCCAGCTACACTAGATATCCAGATAAATACACATCCCACAGGACTTACAGGTAATCCTGCCAGGCGTTGCTTGCAATGCTTTGTATTTTACCAGACCGCGGGCAGTGCCTTTCTTTTTTCCTTAAATATACATTGGTGTTTTTACAGTTGGTGCCTTTCGCACTTACATGCTATGGAGGGCAGCTCCAGGTCTGCTTGCATACTATATTTTAAGTAATAGCTTTGTTATATTATTCTAGGTTGTGCTGCATAGCTCAGTGCCTCTTGTGGACAGGAAGCTCATTATAATTATGATTTTTTTTTCGGAGGTCGATGTTCTTGGTAGCTTATCTAATAAAGGGAGTCACTTCACTCTCTGAATTCGGGACTTTTAGATGATGTTCAGCTGTAAGGGGGCATTTGAATATATAATGGTCGGGACTGCCTCTTTCCTCCACATGCACATTGATCTGAAGTTGCTAGTTTCCTTGCATAGAAGTACATGGGAAAAGGGCCATGCCCTGATAAGAACCACGCTTTTTCTCTAGTTATTAAACTGGGAGCTGTGCCTACATTTGGGAACAACTGATAAGTCCTTTTTCCTTGTTCGGCGTTGTCCCACCAGTTCTGCCATTCAGCTTTAGATTTGTTGGTTATGATTTTTTTAAGGTGCGAGCCAGGCCATGGTACTGATAAATTTTGTGCATTTTGACCCTTAGCTGCTTCTTTGGCTAGGATGTCAGCCTCCTCATTGCCTTTCGTCCCTGCATGTGCCTTCAACCAAGCGACAAAGCTCAGTGAGGTGTAAGACCACCGCGTAAAGCGATGCACGAAAAAATACGTCTAGGCATAGAGTCAATAAGAGTGCGGATGATGTCCTGAGGGATGGCTCTCCAGTCCGTTTCAACCATTTGCCACAGTTCGTCTTCTGAACGAGGCAGGGGAAGAGTCTGGAAACGGCGTCTAATCACATCCCACACATGTTCGATTGGTGACAGGGCAGGAGAGTACGGTGGCTAGGGAAGCATCTGTATACCTTCCAGAGCACGTTGGCAGATGTGACGCCGTGTGTGCAGACCACATTCAACCAATCGACAGGAAATGGTTCTGTTCGACACGGGAATATCCAGGGTATCTTGCACATGCTGCAGAATCGCGGTAGAAGTGACTTGCGGGACCGCCACAGCTTGTCGGTGGATGCGCCGATACCCGCGTGCTGACGTCACTATGGCTGCACTTGCACCCTTCCTTCTTCTCACATTTCCTTGTTCCAACCATGTTCGCCGTAGATTATGCACCATGCTCGCCTCCATGTGGGTATCGGCTGCGATTTGACGTAAGGACCAACCCGCCCTTCTCAGTCGGATCACCATACCCCTCGTAAAATCGCCTATGTGCTGGAAGTGCCTTCGTTGACGGCGGCCTAACATTCTCTCCTATTACACGTATCCTCCGGGACAAAAGCCCACCAATAAGCGAGAGATAATGTCGCTGAACAATGGTAGTTCGGTCCGAGGTTCGAATCTCGCGAACGGGCTGGCTGCATGGGTGTTTTCGTGGTTTTCCGTATGTGTAACGTGTATACGAGCCAGTTTCCCTTGAAACGTCCTCCACGAAGGCATCCCTCCCTTAAGGCAGATAGCCCTCGAATGCTTTGCCTGTAATCTAATAAACCAAAACTCAAACCAAACCTCCAGGACAAAAACCAACTTTCTTCGATAATTCGTTTGGCAGAAATAACGACACGAATATTGCCCATTCTGCACGTTCCTTCCCTTGCATCACGTGCTTGGGAGAGCTGCGCATTTCCCATCATTCCGCATAACTCAGTGACGTGCGTCTACCTCTAAAATTTGCATAAATTTCTGACCACTCCTTCTTGGTATTGCATTTTCAATGGCGAGCAGTGTATATTATCCAATGGCGAGCACTTGCTTATTTAGCACAGCACACTTCTAGGGCCAGAAGTGGTAGCCATTTTACTGGGGAGGCACCTGATAGAAGGCCACCGCTTCCTCCTATGAATGGACGGAAAGTTACAACCATGTCTTCTGCGGGATTCGAGGCCCTTCTCTTCGGTAATGCAATTGGCTCACTTAATCACTGTACCGTCCGTACATTAAATTGTTTAAGATTTCAATCTTTATTATTTTAGGGATGGGTATTTAAAATCTTCGAATCCCATGAATCTTGAAACCGGTACGAGATTTGAAAACACGAATCATGGTGCTTTTATCCCAGTTTTCTATATCTTAAACTTAGAAAAACCGTTAAAATTTTGCTTAAAAATTTCGGAAACATTGGTTTTCATTGAAGTCCATGAGAAGCGTTAACTTAAAAACAGGTTGTCATCTCAATGGACTTGAACTGCATCATTTTGAAACGACACTGAGAGATACACTCTTCGGTTTCTGGAGCGAATTTAGAATCCTGCTTTGTGCTTATCTGTATTAACTCTTGAAATAATCTTCCCTCCACTACAGTTGCTATGACTATAAAAGCTTCTCACAAATGTAAAATTTTCTAACATTACTCAAATATTTTGTGTCAAATTACATCAAAAGAGAACCTCTAGAATTTTAATCATCCCTTCTTTCGCTAAATTTCACTTGTATCTTCTAATAAAACCTTTTTTAAAACTTTATTCTTAAAATTTTTTATATTTAATGCAAATTTTAAAGTCTGAATTTAGTTAAACATTTTAATGGTATAATACCTTTTTGTACTATTATTATACGAAGAATTCGAAAATTTTTAGGATTCGAATTCAAATTCCAGAGTATATAGGAGTCATCTAATTTTTAATTATTATTTTTACTTTTGAAGAAGATATGTTTACAAATGCTGTAATTTTACATTAAGTCAAATATTAAAAATTACTTTTTTTGCTATTATCAATATAATTATAAATTATAAATTATTAAACTATAATTGTAAATTTTGCTATTGTTAATAGCAATACTTACTTTAATAAGTATTCTTTAACATCACAATTTGAACAACATTGTTTTATTACAGGATAAAAATAATATTCTTTGGAAACATGAAAACGTAACTTTTGCTAAAACGTGTATGAATTTCCATGTATCTTTAAATGAAAACGATATTTAATTACATTATGTAATACGTTTGGTAGAAAATGATGGCTTATTAGAACGTAATTCTTATGGCAGATAAATTATTTTAATTTATTTAGATCAAAATTTTATAATACGTTTTACATATACAAAAGAAAATGAAATTCACAACTGTGTTTTAAACCTAAAGGACATGTTTTCTTTTTACTTCCTTGTACGAAGTAAAAAGGAAGTATTGTAATCGCGAAAAGTTTTCAGGGCATATATTTCAACGAAAATATTTTTTTGACCGCTATCGAATGCAATTTAACGATGTTTTTGCGTCATATCTGTACGTAAGGACAGAAAGAATAAAAAATACGTTCGTTTCCTCCAAAAAAATGATAAAACTGCTTTAAAAATGAATTCTGAAGAGAATTTTTTCGTGGCGTCTGTACGAACGTATGTACGTACGTGCGTACATACGTATCTCGCATAACTCGAAAACGAGTAGCCTCAGAACGTTTTAAATTTTGTATATAGGACTGCTATAAAACATGTAGATGTGCACCTCGTATTTTGGTTGCAATCGGCCGCACCAAACCGTATATAAATATATATATTTATATATATATCCACTCTGTTACCGGCTCGGTGATCTCAGTTTCTTTACTCTTATATGTTTGTAAATTGTACATTTTTTGCTTTAAAAATGATTGAATTATGTTGTTCTTATCTTCCGGTTAAGGTTTTTATGCCTTTCGTAATTCTGGAAGCAATATTTGTACAATTATCAACAATTTTAAAAGCTGTTTGTTTAAGTGCGGTTAACTTTTAAATAACATGGCGGACATATTTGTTTACATTCGAAACAGCAGAATTGTAGATTTGATGCCAATCTAGAAACTTAGCTTCGCAACAACAAAGATAACGCCTTCATTTATTATTGCGAATTAAATCAGGCTTAATCCTTTCTGGAATGTTTTCGAGGAAATAAGTGTTTAAGATTTACTTCGTAATTTTTAATACGGATATTTTGAGTTTTTATGTATTTTTGCCTTGTCGCGAAGTGAGAACTGAATTAATTGAATGAGAAATACTAAATCGTCTGTGAAAAACTGTTTCTTTTCTGTTTTGTTTCCTTAATTTATGTCATACATCGTTGTAGCTTTATTATAGTATTTGAATAGAACATGTGGCAACGATAAGATAATTCTTCAAATGATATAAATTTTGTGCATTCAGAGTGTCGTTATAGTAAATAAATATAGTGAATTTTAAAGAGTGCATTTATTCTATTGTGGTTTATGCGCTGTCGACGAAGTAGATTCAATTCAATCCAATCAATTTAAATGAAATTCAAGAAAAAATGCGTTTAATTTAATATTCCGTACAAGGAAGTCATGTGGTGTCCACATCAGATTTTTTTAAAATAGCAACAAGATAGTAGTCTCACAATTCCATTAAACCTCAGTCTAACAAGACTTTAAAACTGTAGATTTTGTAACTTACAACCACGACCTTAAAATCTTTTCAAATTTATGCATAAATTTACTCCATTAGACCAGATTAAATTGGCATTTATCAATATACAATGAATTAAAAATTAAATTAACTTTTTGCCATTAGATTATATTATTACAAAATTGTAAAACTTTAATTGTATCCTAAAAGCCATATCAACGTTACCTGCAACCACTTGCACCAAAGTATGAACGAAAAACATTATTTATAATGCATATTTTAAACTTCAAACGCATGAAATTTACGCATGAAAAAGAATTAACTTAATAGGAAAAGGCCACCTGACATAAACAATTCGGCCTAGCTTTGAGTCCTAGAAAACGGATTAACAGCTTAGTGGTTTCGTCGTTTTTCTGTTTATAACGACGCTATTAAACATCTTCCTATGTCAATTCCTATATCTATATGTATGTTTATGCACCATTCTCGGATTGCGAGCACCCTGAAGAAGGTATATCGTAAATTTAAATCCTTTCGTTCTTTCAAACACCGAAATCTGAAATATTTCAAATATAAAATTACTTCAAACAGTCTTCGTTTCCTCAAAATTTTGACTTGAAATGCTTTTTTTAAGAAAAATTGCTTTTATTTTGGAAAAATATATATTCTGCTTTTCCTTTAGCACAGACTTTAATTAGTATTTATATGTTGTCTTGCTGTAAATTTACCCTGTGGTTTTTTTCGGTTTGTTACTCTAGAATTTTCCTCATAACCGTTTAGTTACTTTTAATTTTTATTTTAAAGGTCACTTGGGAGCAGATAATATCTTAACGATTAGGTAAAATGAACTATATCTTAAAGTTTTGATTTTTAGTGTATTTCGTTTTTAAGGATTTTAATGATTTTTATTAAATTAAATTTTGTATTACAGCTTTCTTTTATTTTAAATTTTCACAGTCATTTAGATATAATTCAGAAATGCGGCTCTATTGAACTTTTTTTGGCTTCTTAATTTAATCTCTATACTTTAATTATTTTTTCTTTATTATTGAATAAATTCGAAGCATACTGCACTGTTTTCATAATTTATGAATTTGATTTAAAACTTTAAATTATATATATATAATGCAAGAAGAAAGCTGAAAATCAGAAATAATGGCATACGTAAGTTTCTAAGTCCTTATGATTACAATATATCTATCCTATAAGAAATTAATTTATGCATTTATGGACTCTGACAAACCAATAAATATACTGCTAAAATATACGAAATATTTGTGTATTAGAATCCATCAATCATTTGTAGATGAAATGTTTTATCTTCCACATGCCATGTTTAGCAATTACTATTTTACTGTATGTGGATATATATAAATTCCATATTATACAGCTCCCAGAAATTAACATACATATTGCAGCTAGTGAAATATTTTTGTTACCTTTGCAGGCACATCATAAAAAATATTTAAAAATTCTTTAAATTCCCAAAACAATGTATGTAATTAACGTTGTAAGGATTATGTTAATTATACCAGCAGTTTAATTTTGAGTTAAACTTCCTTTTCTATCGCTTCTTAATTTCAACTTACTACTCCCGGCCAGAACGTAGTTTTAGAATCACGTTTGAATGCAAATTAAGGAAGAGCGGTATTTAACCGCGAAGTTCTAATGTATTAGTCAGAGAGAACCAGAGATTCTTACTAACACGCGTCCGCCTTTTTAGGCTACTCTCTCTTAAGCTATTATTACCGCTCGGCCATACTTTAGGCCCTTAATAGCTTCGCAGTCAATTAGCGTTAAGGGGCTAACTCCGTTAGAATTGTGATAGCTTCGGCTATATCCTTGTAGTTAATTTAGTTAAATTTTAATTCTTAGATCCCTAAGTTCAAGCCCGAGTGTCGGCTTTATTGTAAAACTCCAAGACGGAGTCCTGCTAAATCTTATTTGAATAAAAGGTCTTTTTAACCCTTTCCTTTATTTACTGTCATCACTGCTCTAAATCAATGCATCGCTTTATGTTCGTTCTTCCATTCATTGTTTAAGATACTCTTATAGAATCTTTACAATATTTGGAAAGTCATTAATAATGTCAATTTCTTGTAGATAGTTTTAGGATCATATTAGTTAGACACGTAAATATTATATTTTTAATACATGTGCCACTTCTCATGAAAAATTGTTTCGTATTTAATTGACAAATATTGCTTTTAACGGATCGGAAACCATATATATATATATTATATAATGGTGACATATGTATTAATGACAATGTGAAACAGTATATTTATACTCTACCTCACCAATTATTCGCTACTCTTTCTTAAATTCTTCACTTCACTTATTTCGTTATAGATCTTTACAAATGCGTAATTGAATCCTTAAATAATTCTAATACAGCTGGTAAAAAATATTAGGACATAATAGTTAAGACACGTAATATTAATTTTTAATACATGTGCTTCACACTTCTTCATGATAAAAATTGTTATCGTATGTTAATAACAGTGGCTTTAAATTGTAACTTTTTAACAAAAATTTGGATGTCAAAATTGTATATAATCTATATATAGATATAATTGTGACAATATGTATTAATGACAGTGTGAAACAAGTAATATTTTATACTAACCTGCTATGAGTTTTTTTAGTCTTTCTAGGGAATCCTTCCTTACGGAAGGTGTCTCTCCAAGATCCTTTTCTGCGATTGCTTCCATTTCAGGACTTAAACCTTCTGCTGAAAAAGGCACAAGTACCATACTGAGAAAATAACTTCAAGTAAAATCAGTACTAACTTCTAATGAATAGTAGTTCGGATAACTTTTAAATTAGTGACTTGATAAGTACAGCCTTAGGTTATTCTATTTTAATACATCACCGAGTTTAACTTCTTTATCAAAATTTACTCGCGCGCGCTGCACTCTTTAAATCTATTCAAAGTCCGATATTTTTTTCCTTTTGCGCAGAACAGCGATAAGCAGTTTGCGCATTCGGATTTACGTATTTAAATTAAGGTAACCAGTTCCGAACGATGATGGGACACTCGTTATCCTTGTAAATTCTCTGATTTTTTTGTTCTCACTAATTGTGTTCATTAGCGCTATATTTCCTTGACTATTTTTCAAGGAAGGATTTCAACTCGTAACTTTAACAGTGCGTCCGCATTAAAATACATGTTACATCCAGGGTTTCTTAAACATTTTGGCTTGGGGACCCCTTAATATGTAAGAAAATTTTGTGGGACCCCCCATAAGCATTACGCAAATCCGACACACGCGTGAGTGAAACTATCAGTTTCTTCACTTGTACTGTTTCTATTATTAAAATAAATAAATAAATAAATGAATAAGTAAAAAAAAGGGAAATGTGAAAGGTTTCTGATTTTAAATTACGTCCAAAGGGGCGTTTTTTTAGCATTTTGTCTGTTACCATTATTTATTAAATATCACGTTCTTCGCACACAAACCATAAAATTCAGTTCAAGAGCAATATCGCAAAATAGTTTTAAATTGAGCGTATCTTAAAATTTCGGATACAGGGTCTCGCGCGCTGGAGATAAGAAAGTTTTTTTCTGTACTTGCCATTGTTCTTTTTTTTTTAAATCCTTGACTTGTATTCAAAATTTGTTAAATTTTTACAAATATAAAGCGATAAAAACAATTACCAATTTCAAATGTGGGCTTCCCCATGCCCATATTCGTAGTAGGATTACGTCATTCAAAATTCGATGGCTCTATGTACCGTTGTTTTATCACAATGCGAAAAATATACATACATTGATGCAGATTTTTCATTATTTAATTTCGGGCCACAAGCGGCCGAGCGATAAAGACGCTGAACACTGGTAGTTCGGTCCGAGGTTCGAATTCCGCGAACGGGCTGGCTGCATGGGCTTTTTGGTGGTTTTCCCCAAGTGTAACGTCTATAGAGGCGGTTTCCCTTAGAAAGTCCTCCACGAAGGCTTCCCTCCTTTTAAGGCAGATAGCCATCGTGTGCTTTGACATAAATGAATAATCCAATCCAATCCATCAATCCATTATTTAATTTCTTCAAATATAATGCAGGACTTTAACATTCTGTAGCAACAGTTTGAAAAGTGAAATGGACATTTATAGTGAACCAACGCAAAATCGCAAAACGAAGAAATAGTTCTTGGAAAAAAAAGCCCCTTTGAACTAAAAATGCGTCGAAACGTTTTTCGTTTTTTCTTTGTATTGTCTTATCTTTATCTATTTTCAGATCCACTATATAAAAATATTTCGTAATTATAAAATTATTATAATAAGTTAAAGTATATCAAAATTGCTAAATTTTTGGAGACCCCCTGTTGCAGGTCTCGCGAACACCATGGGGTCATGACCCACAGTTTAAGAAGCTCTTGTCTAGTCCATAATGCTCATTTTTATTCTATAAAATCTGCCCAGAATAATCACTGAATGCAATTAATATTTGAAAATTTGTTTACTTAAGGAGAGTGAAAATGTTTCGACTATGAAAAACTGAAAGTTTCCATTGTTATAACCCGTCTTTTTTTCCTAGTAAAACTAATTGCATAGTTAAAATGTTTTTATTATAGGAACTACACCTTAATTTTTGTTAAAGTAAAAATTTAAGTTTTATCCTGAATATTATTTTTTTGGAAAGAAATATTGAACAAGTTTTGAAATCATAGATTTTAGACACTTTTGGTTAACTTTATGATTCTGTCAAAGCATATTAGGGCTATCTGCCTTACCAGAGGGACGCCTTCGTGGAAGACTTTCTAAGGGAAATTGGCTCGTATATACGTTGCCACATTGGGAAAACAACGAAAAATTTCAGCCATTTCGATCGCCTAGAATCTAACCGAAGTGAACTACCACTATTCAGCGATTTTACCGTTCGGCGCTGATGGACAGATTTTTAGATACATGATCTTACTTAGGTACCCAGAAAACTTACTTAGGTAACTTAGTAAGTAAGGTAACTTAGGTAAAGTAAGTTGAACTTTTTATTGTTCATAGAATCACTTCGGATTTGCAGTGATGTATATTTGCATTTTAATTCAGAAATTTAAGTGAATTTATTTTTATTCCAAATGTTTTACCTAAAAATTTGAAAATTTTTTGTAATTGAAGGAAATTCGAATATTTAAAAAAATAGCATAATTTTAATAAGATCAGGACCTAAATAATACATTCCCTCTTCAAGACAAATGTAAATAGGCTCACTCATTATATTTGGGTAAGTAAAATTATGTTGTTGTTGTTATGACTTATCCCACTTGTATGACAGTAACAAAAGAATAAGCCCACAAAATGTATCGTGGCAAAGAGTGCAAGATTGCTCCTGTCGTTGGCTCGCCGCATATTTAGAGTGCTCCCCATACCGCACAGACACTATATGTGTACAAACATCCTTGCCTTCTGCGGGATTCTAACATGAGCCTTTCGGAGCGGCAGTCAGAGTCTTTAATACTCTCCCGGTAGGGATACAATAATATTATGAAACAAATTTAAAGTTTGTTGATATATACAACTGCATAAAAATGCACTTAAA